TTTTTATGATGGTCGACGAGTTGACGAGGATTCTGGCGGTATCGACGCCGATGATTGACTATGAAAGAAGCAAGCCTACATGCCTTACTTGCAAATATGTTTAACCAACTGCATGCTTTCTCTGCTTTTCACTACACTGCGAGCTCATTTGAGCCGCTGATACAAGCTTGCTTTCTGCTTTTCCGTTTTTTACAAAAGACCGCCTGTTACTACTGAATACCTGTTATCCAATATGATATCTGCCTTACCACCACCACAACCACAACCTGCTCCTTTCTATCCAGTAAACAGCAACCATGACGTAGCGTAGACGCAGAGTACATAGAAACTCGCAGAAGAGACTGGCGCCCCTGAGAATCCCTGGTCTCCTTATGCATGCTAAGCAACACCCCCCTTGGCTCTCCCTAGCACTACCCAAACCAGAAATCTCCCCGGACAGAAACGCCATCCAAACGCCATCAGAGCCAACTACGACACTGATAAGTCCTTACATGTTGACTCAGGGAGTTGCCTCAACCAGCCAAGGCATCAACGAGATTAACTATTAGTGGTTCATCTAAAAAAAGTAGCCTAAACGTTAGTCAACCAAAGATTTGTTTGATTGAAATTTTGATAATTTGCATCATCGACACAGCCCTACCAAAGTCGATAACGTCAACCCGGAGCAAAAGAAGGCCACAACGCCTCTCACCCCCCCAGACTCCCTCCGTTTGCCAGCAGGCAAGACAGAGGGAGATAAATAGCCGGGTCATGGGCTCTTCCTGCGGGTTCTTGCATCAAAGGAAGCTTCTCAGGATACCGATTCACTGCTTCTGCGATTCACCATCCTGCTTCACTGGATACAATTACCCTCTACTGCCAACTTCACTTGCCAACAACACACCTTTTCGCCTGCTTTCTTGCCTCTTACAACATACACATCCAACTCTTCAAGTTGCTCGCTACTCATATCTTCCTACAAGAAGAAGAAAAGAAAAAAAAAAATAGAAAAAAATAAATAAAAGGCCTTCTGTCTTGCTTTCCTTGTGGAGCAAGGAACCACTCTAGCCTGTGTTGCTACTCCCCTTTTCTTTCTCGTATTTTTTTTAATCTTGATATCAAAGAGACAGCTTGGACCTTGATACCCATCCAGCTGTCATCATGAGCTATTTCGAGCGCTTGAACATGCTTTTTGACGGGGAGGATGCCGGCCTGCTGGGGATAGACGTCGGCCTGCGTGAGACGAGGATTGATACTCAGGATCAGTCTGGCCAGAACCAGGGCGAGGCCGCAGATTTGCCCCTGCTGGATGTCATAGAGGTCGAAGTTGCCAACCCTGGGGACAAGCAAGCTGAGGCCTCGCCAGATAACGCCACCGGGATCCAGCCTGCGGAGCCGGAGATGGAGACAGAAGCGTCCAAGGAAGATATCCCTGTCACAGATGGCAAGCCACGCCCTGGAGAGACTGCCTACTTCTGCTCCATTGACGTCCTGTCCACGGCACACAAGTACATCGGGGGAAAATTCCTGCGGCCGGCTGTTGACAGATTCTACAACAAAGGGAAGTTCTGGGAGCGGACATGGGACTTGTAAGTGTTTCTTCCCTCTTGCTCTTCTAGTTATTTGCCGACGTTTTAATCTTCGCACTGGCGGCTCTTGGAGCATCTCCATAGTTAACTATAACTTAACGTTATAGCTATTAAGCTATTCACTAACAACCTACTTTATCTATACAGGTACTATGTTCGCGTGCCAAAACACATCTTATGCGTACCTTTACTTTTTACCCCAATATCGCAGGCCCAGGCGCTTATCGATGAAATTAACGCAGAATTTGGCAGCGATATCAGCCTCCCGCTTGAGGAAGAAGCAGGGTTGGTCGTTCCATTTACCCCTGACGGGACCCCCCAGCCGGAGTACATGGGAACTTCTACCAACAACGACATAAGAGGCCAACTGCAGAATAGGGCTAACGCATGGTGCCATGAGAATCCTATCGAGTGGCCGGAAGAAGGGAACGAACCTTATGCACGATTCCGCAGAAGAATAAAGATAGTGTGTGATGTCAAGTACAACAAGCACAGGGCGACGGTCGGCGACGATAAATATGTGAAGAAAGTCCGCCGCTGGCACCGTCAGCTAAAGCGAACTCAGTGCTATCTGGGGCTGCGTCCTCGAATTGCTCGACGTGCTTCCAAGAAGACCCAGATTGCTGACGATGCCACTTCTACACCCGCTACGCCAGCAGTGGAACAACAGCAGCAGCAGCAGCAGCAACAAGGGCAGACTAATGGGACTGCTACTGTTCCAATTGGAACTGTTCTGGACCCGCTCGATGTCGAAAGCCCAGCTCCCTTTGCGTTTGCAGACGAGCCCATCTTCATCTGTATCGACCTTGAGTCCAATGAACGCAACCATTCCCAGGTCACCGAGGTTGGAGTGTCTACTTTGGATACCCTGGACTTGGTGGGAGTTCCACCGGGAGAAGGAGGCCGTGACTGGACGAGCAAAATTCGATCCCGGCATTTCCGCGTTTCTGAATATAAACACTTCAGAAATAAGAAGTTTGTACATGGTTGTCCTGATGATTTCGTTTTCGGGAGCAGCGAGTTCGTTCGTCGCGCATATCTTGCCCAAGTGGTTGATGCATGCTGCAAACCACCATACTCTGGCCATATTGCCTTCAGCCAGCAACCGGTAAGTACCATTGTTAAGCCTCACCATCCTCCAGCAGTTTACTTACATCTTTCACAGAAAGACAGCTCCCAGGAACGCAAACGTCAATCTCATCCTCGGCCCTCTAGAGGAAGACGCGGAAACCAGTCCCAATCGCCAGAGGGGGGCGTCAGATTGCCATCCGAGCCCAGTAACTCCCCTAAGAAGAGCAGTAACTCTCCTAGGAATAGAGGGCGGAGCAGACGGCGCAAGCAATGGTCTCCCGCTCCCGGCACCGAGCCCAGCTCCTCTCGATCCCCTGGCCAACAAGACCAACGACCTCCAGCTCGGACTCCAAGCCCAACCATACCAGAGTATAAGATGAGACCACGCAAGCTCATCCTGATCGGCCACGGCTTGACCGGCGATATCAAAAACCTGTGCAACGTAGGCTGTGAATTCTTCGACATCGAAACGTACAGCGGCGAAGAATTTTCGACACTATCAAAATTTCACGACGTAGCGGATACAGCTAACGTCCACCGCATATTAAAACGTGAATACGACACTCCCGGCCTGAGCTACATCTTGAAGGACCTGGACATCATGCCCTGGCACCTCCACAACGCCGGCAACGATGCACGCTACACCCTCGAGGCGTTGGTGGGTATAGCCGTCCAGATCACCAAAGCTGAAGCCAGGGCTGAGAGCGAGCGTGATGCCATCCGGTTTAGAGAATATCCAGACATCGACAACCCTAACGTGATGGTTTCACCTCGGTCAAGCGACGAGGATCTGCACTGGCGCCGGGAAATGGAGCGCATAGCTAAAAAGCCGCGGCGCAAACGGCGCAAGGAGGACTCCGAAATCGAGACTGAATGCGACATATGGGAGGAGGGGATGGGCTGGAATGCGTTTCGGAATCGGCACAAAGATGACATGGACGGCGGCCTGCCACCCGACGTGCACTACCCAGTTGTATAATACCCCTATTCTTGTCTACTGCATTTACTATTTACTACTGACGACCTGACGATGGACGAAGTAATGTCCCTTTTACTTTCTACTGTCGATATCTTTGTGATTTACTTTATTTAACTAGTTACCCGGGCAGTGAGACGGCATATTTGTCCTCACACACCCGAAGAACCAAGGAGATTAGAACGGCTATAGTTATAACTTAAGAAAAATATATATATAAAAAAAATAAAACCTCAGTTTTTATACTGATAATTCAATCCTTAATAGTAAACCTAAGCTGAAATACATCAAGGGGCGTAAAAAACATTGTAAATAGATAAAAACGCCACTTTTCCCCCGTAGGTCTCGTATAAAGGCGTTCCCAACACCTTCACCTCTACCCACCCCAACCAAGTAAGAAAAGTAATTCATCCATTCCATTCCATCCATACTATCTTAGCAGCGTAAAATGTTCGATTCCGTCCGTTCCGTTTCCGTTTCCATATGGCAAAAGGCCACCGGCGTAGCAATGTCGTAAAGTACAGCTCAATGAGCAAGCGTAAGGATGTAACAAGTGAGGGTTGAAAAAAAGAAGAAAAAAAAAAATCAAAAACAAACCAAGTCCAAGGGATAACAATACCAATAGGAGATGATTGAATAGATAATACATGAAAAATAGAAGGGTGGGCTTGCTTAGAAAGGGGGTGCTGCATTATTCATATCTCATGCGTGCATGCATATAAAAAGGGTCATATAGGCAAAGGTAAGCCTATTTAGCTAGCTCTAGCAGCATTGTTAATTTGTCTGTGGAATGAACCAATAGGTTGGAATCCCCTGGGAAATATTAGTATACTGGTTCACATATAGCATTGGAAGGAAGGGGGACAAACCTAGCAAGATCAAAGCCAGTGTCGTCACCATCGTTGTCATCATCATCTTCATCCCAGCTATCCTGGTGACGCTTGATAGTGCTGCTCTCCCGCTCACGCACATCCCGTCCTAGAGGAGAGACACCACCGCGACCCCTGAGGGAAGAAGTAGGAGGTTTAGTTGGGCTGCCTAGATTGGCTGGTGGTGGACTACTGCTTGGGATGGGGTTGAGGGTCTTCCAGCGACTGGACTCAGAGGTGCCGATGGAGGGCTTAAGCGGGCTGATGTCCGGCATTGGCCTGGCAGGAGTGTTACCTGTGTCGGCTAATTTCCAGAACTGAGCTGGCGAGCTGAGTTGCATGTAGCGTGAAGGAACCTGGGCGGTACTTGGAGGAGCAAGACGAGGCTGTTGGCGTAGGGGGGCGGGAGTGATCATTGACGAGGCAGCGTCGTCATAGTATGATGAGGAGAGAACTGGAGGAGAAGCAACAGCATTGTCAGACAGACCGTAGGGCCGTGTTGGTGCATTGTTGCGTGGACCGTTGGGCAACGGAGACTGTTCGTCAAAGTCATGTGTGCCCGCACCGTTGATACCAAGGCCATTTCGGGAGCCGCGGTCTGGCGTGTATGCTTCGATGGGGGCGACTGAGAAGGAGTGATAGCCTGGTGAGGCTGTAGTGTTTGCCTGGGGAGATGGTCTGGCTGCGAGGGCAGCAGCAGAGGCATCGATGTTCTTCTCGACGTTGGTGGCTACATGGCCGTTGATGGGCTGGTAGGCGCTGTTGCCGCCTCTCTCCTTGCCGATGGGGGATGCCGGGGTGGAAGACTGTCCGCTCCTCTTGGCCTGTTTCTTCCAGTACTCTTCGCGGTGCTCAGGGACGATCTGCCATTTCATGCCCTTGCCAGGCTCGTCTGTGCGACGAGGTACCTTCTGGAAGGCCTTGTTGAGAGATAGGTTGTGCCGGATGGAATTCTGCCAACCGGACTGCGAGTGCCGGTAGAAGGCGTACTTTTGCATGATGAACTTGTAGATGTTGCTCAGGGACAGTTTCTCTTCCTCGGTGGAGAAGATGGCCTGAGCAATCATGTTTGCGTAGCTGAATGGTGGCTTGATATCCTTGGCCGCGTCCTCGCTGTAGTCGATCTCCTCGGTACTTTCCATCATCAGGCCCCGGTTGTACATGGGGGAGACCTTGGACGATGGTTCAATGGTATCTCGCGACAGTGGACGTTGGGAGGGCGTCGTCTGCCGCTTGGGAGTAACGGTGGCCGCGTTTGCAATCTCCGCCGCTCGACGACTGCCGTTGGCTGTGGCAGCACCTCCAGTAGAGTTAGCCGCAGCAGCAGAAACAGAGGCAGTATCGGCCGGTTCTCTACTGTTGAGAGCAAAGGACATACGACGGGGTGCTCCGGCACCGGCACCAGCACTGGAACTGGTACCGGCGTTGGCAGTGGTTGGGTGTGAATGGTACGATCCATCCCAGGCGGTCTCGTCTGTTTCACGGGTGGTATGGACGCCGTTCTGGGCCTGCTGGATGAACGCCGGGTCGATGACGGCCTTGTCTCTGGGCGTGACGAACATCATCTGGGTATTGGCGATCTCGAGGATGTCGCCACAGGAGATCTGGGTGGCCGTTCCACGCTTGTAGAAGGTGTTGTTAACCCGTACGCCGTTTCGTCCGTTGACTCTCACGCGCCAGCACGGCGGGTCGTCGCGGTCGTAGTATATCTCTGCATGCAGCCGGGAGACAAACTTGCCCGGTCCGAGATCGATGTGAACGTCCGGCAGGGCCTGGGCGGCGACGGTGATGGGGGAAGACTGGGCATCGAGCCTCTGGTCGCGGTCTGGCGGGCGTCCGATGTTGACATGCAGCGTCTTGACGTAGTAGGTCCAGTCGCGGCCGGCAATCTTAGCGTAGGCCTCGACACTTTCTTTGTTTTCCTGCTGCGTGCGGGCGTTGGAGTGCAGGGTCATGACGGCAACGGGCTCTCTTGCGACGGCCAGGTTGGCGATGACCGAGTCGACGAGATCCTGGTTGGCTGCCATCTCGTTGTCGTGTTCGTCGTCGTTCTCGTCCGCAGAGGCGGCTGGTTCGACGGTCCTCTCAAAGTCCGGCTGGGACGTGTGCTCGACCTGCATGTTATTGTTATTATTAGATACCGTACACTGGTAGACACTCGACAACACACGCTTTTCAACGCCGTCTCTATGCCGGCGCGCGCAAACCAACAGAGGAAAAAGCCGAGTACTGACCTTGCGCTTCTTGACTGAACGCCGGGTGGGAGACGAGTCGAGGGCGTCCATATCAACCGGGTCTTCGTGCAGGTCGACTTCTCGCCGACGACTGCGACGCTTAGCAACCGAGGGCGCCATCTCCGTCTCTCTCTCTCTCTCTCACTCTCTCGTCGTGCGTCTTTGTTCCGTGCTATCCTCCGAGTAAGTATCGAGTGTCTTCCCTTGCCGTGTCTTTCTTCGCTGGGATGTTGTTGACGCAGGAAAAGGCCGTGGATGTCTCGACGCCGATCGAAGCAAGTCCAGCACAAAAGAAACACCAAGCAAAAAGCCCTAGTCAAAAAATAAAAAGTCCGTTTACTCTTGCTCTTAGTTCCTGCAACCCCAAGGGCGGGAGAAAAAGAAACGAGTAAATCCTGTGCACGAGTGAATCTCGCAAGACGCCGTGAATGCAGCTGAATATCACTTGGGGATCAACAACAACAACAAGTCAAGTCGACCTGGACTGGACTGGACTGGACTTCGGCTCAGGTAAATAAATAAATAGCAGAAAAGAAAAGAAAAAGGATCTTTCTCGGAAGTGGCTGGTCCTTTTGTCTCTCTTCTTCTTCTTCTTCTTCCTCTTCTTCGGTTTTTTCCCTCTAGAAAAAAAAAGAAAAGAAGAAAATTTTT